ATATCGTATAGAGCCACGTGAAAAACAAAATCTATTTTTGTCTAGAAAACGAATGAAATTAGCCATAACTCAACCGCCATAACTCAACCGCTGTAAACCACACGCAGTAATCCACACGCTGTAACCCCCAAGTTATAACCTACACGCAGTAATCTACACGTTGTAAATTGATTGAGCTGAGTTAACGGAAAAAAGCGACAGTTACAACTCGAAGTTACTAGGAAGAAAGACTAACCGACAAAGGCGTTGGTTCCAGAGGGGCAGAAATCTCAACTATCTACAAATGAAGCGGCTAGCAAAAAATCAATAATGTGGTAATTACTAGTGACTATAATTATTTATGATCAAATCAAAATTGACACTTGATAAACTGTAAATAGTTTGTTTTCTGAACGGTTTCTTGTTTTCTGAATAAAATCGTTAATTTTTATAAGTATATATGATGAATCTTATTTTTTAAAGGTTACAAAAATTTTCTTTTATTCACACTAAATTCTGAATAAGTTTTTATTAACTTCTTTTTATTGATAAAGCTAGAGTTTATAATTCTCACTAGCTTTTAAAAATAAACAAAGAGAATTATTGGTGCCCAACATTACCTAGAAAAATTATTACCCTAAAATTGTCTATTTGAAACGCCGAATTCACGACAGAGAAAAGTATGGTCAATGTGCTCATTAATTTTTTTAATTTTTAAGGTAAGTAACATTTGCTATTAAATTTCACTAGTAAAAATCTCTATAAGTGTTTTGAAATTACATTTATCAAAAAGGTAACGAATAATATTACAAAATGGTGGGCAAAGTGTCAAGGAAATATTGCAGTACACGTAAGTTTCCTGGGATTGACATGGAAAAACTGGTATATTTGATGATCCTCAAATAAGGCAATTTATTATTAAAAATCCATAATTTACCACATCAACGAATGAGACTGAATTTAACTCTTGGTGTTCATTAGTTCAAGAAGTACAAAATTTTCTTGGGAATCATAAAGCAGTAAATTACATAGAATTAGTAATAACAATGCCGTAAAGTTTTAATATTCTCAGTTGTAACATGAGCATAGAATTTCACTAAACTATTTCCACAACCTTCTAAATTGCTTTCCAGAAAATGTAGGTGATTCTAGTGAAGAACAGAAATAAAAATCCACTAGGACAATAAAACTGTTAATGTTCAATATCAAGGACGATGGGATAGCCATATGATGGTCGACTACTGTTGGAGCCTTTAGCGAGAGAGCCTTAGTAAATTGCATGCTAGAAAGTCGTATAAATGAAAATTTTAGGTAATAAGTGACGAATGTGAGTATGAATGTATATGAATCTACTTTTTGTAATAAATACCTAACTTCATGTGTTTTTGTTTGTTTTTTAACTGCCAATAGTAATAGTTAAAACGTAAAATATATATAGGATAAACAATATTAAATATTGCCTATCTTAAAGACTAACCTGTAAAAATTTGAATTAAATTAACCCTAGGATATAAACATATCCGGATGTTATTTTTAATTTTGTATTCTCTATTATTTAGTAATCAATTTTAACTGCTGTCATTAATACATCAAATAATGAATATATGTCAAAAGGTTATTTATAACTATGACGTTTAAATTTTAACGTGAATTTAACTCAAAACTCTATTAGATATTCCATCAATTTAATTTCGTGTCATTATCTATTTTATAACCAATCTTAGTTAAAATAGACATGACAACGACTAAAAGTGAATTTAAATTATTACCAACGCAACTTTAAAAATAAAAAAAGAATATATTTGACATATATTCAATACTAGATTTATTACTCTAATAAGTTATTTATAATCAAAAAATACAAAATTAAAACAAACGTCTGGTTGTTTTTATATCCCAGAGTTAATTTAATCCATTTTTTTGCAGAATAGACCCTCGAAATATCAAATAAAAAGTTGTGTTTAAATTTAAACGTCATAGTTATACATAACTTTTTAACCAAGATGTTAAAATTAACTAAAACGTTACTTAATCCTAGATCTGATGGCAATTTTGGATTCTCCACCAAAAAATTACACAGGAACAGTTAAAAAATCGGAGACTCTAAAATGTCTGCTAGCTGGTGTAATAGTTACAAGGCTAATAATATCTCAGAGGTACTTTAGAGTTAGAGGACCCTTAACAGTTCTTAGATCTTCCTGACATTGTCACATGAGTTCCTTTAGCGTTAATCTGCAAAATGCCGTTTTGCTCATTTAAATCCGACCAATAATAGCCGAGATACACGCTTAGGTCCTTTTGGCATTGCTACCACATAGGATTTTTCTAGCTTAGTCGCAAACCACTTAGCTGAGTTTCAATTAGGCATTCCAAACTGAATGGCTACCAGTGGGTTTTGACGGGTTATGATATGCAAAATTATGGCAACCCTGTAGGCCTGGTGATTTGACAAGGACAATGAAATAGATAGTTACATAGATTGATCATCCATATTTTTCAAAATAAATATAAGCTTATGCCTTGAAGTAAAAATGTAAGCAATTATTTTTTTTTAAATATCTAAAGGCTAAAAATTAGTTTTAAAACACATTTTTGCTAAACCGATTCAAATGAATAAATATTTGCCAGGCAATATGGCCGCTCGTAAACGACCAGCTTTGAGCAATCTATATAACTTTATATGTATCATTGACCCTGCTAATGACAACATGACAACAGGGTTGCTATATCTAAACTGTCATTACCCACTGGTAGCCATTTGGACAGGTCGTTGGCATGCCTAATTGTCGACCACTGATAATTGGCACTATCTAGCGGCGACTTTTGGAACTGTAATCTCATATTGGCTTTGTATATCTACTTACAATTTTAACTTCTTGTTTGTGTTACAATATAAGTGTTTTTGAAATTAAATTAACCTTTATATTCTAATATTAAAACCCTGCAAAATCTTAAAAATAGGTATTTAAATCATTCGATTTTTATTTTAAGTAATAAACATACCTAATTGGACAATTTTGGAAACTCGCTTTAATAACTCACTTAAAGACCCTTTTTTAGCATACGTGCTTAAAAACTTCTTAAATAAATACTCTGGCATGCTTTTCTTAAAAACAGTCACTAAAATGATTTTTTTTTGCTTAATCTCAGCATAATTTTCTTTTTGTATAAACATAAATGTCTTAATAATTAATAAATATGAATGAGATTGAAGTTACTTATTAATATGAAGACTCTCCATACTTGTTAAACAAATAATGTTTTTGACGGGATTTAATAACATTTTTTATAGATACGATTACATCAAGGTGATTTTTGTTTTAAAAGTTTTAAAGCAGATTCTATTATATTTTATCCAACTGAGAAATGCGCCATTATAACCAAACATTAAAATGTCTGGAGCACAGATGCTAATGCTAAATCACTATCTTAAATTGCATCGTGTACACATTCAAATAAATTACTTGCATTCTCGATTTTCTCCCGCTTAACCGACTGTAAACGGTAATAGTAGAAGTAGTACAACTATAAGTTTTATTATTTATGGAGGTGGTACTACTATTTGTAAATAAGAATACATAAAAAAATTGGCTGTGTAGATATCGTTTTTAAAATCATAAAAATACTTTTTTTGTTACTTATTCATTCATTTAAAAATTGCATAAATAAAACATACATACAAAATTACGTACCCTAGTTTGCCTAAAATAAATATTTTCTGTTTACAGTTTTCTGCATCAACCATTTTGGATATTAGCGAAGACTGGGTAGTTTGATGTGAGGTACTAAACAACATTGTGTATATTAAAATTTTGTTCTAAGGTCGCCTCTAAATTGTTAGGTATTTTACTATTTCGTGTCTTATTTATATTTTGTACAATCTAACAGCAGGTGCTTTACAGAATAGTCAAAATGGCATTGATCGCATTATGGTTTTTCTTATTGATTATGTACTCATTTATTATGTACTCATTTGTTAACCTAGTATGTCTATTTCTTAGCCTGTTCAAGTCTATGGGATGGTATAGGTTTTTAGGGGTTTTCTATGACATTTCATTTCTTTTAAATTTGCAACGGATTGCTGCCATTCGTTTTGCCACGCACTTAAAACTTTTGCTTTTAGATAAATGTTCACATCACTAGCCACATATTCGTCCACTATCATCGCACTTTTACTGATCGCTGCGTCACAGGCCAACTTGACGGCCGCCTCATTTCCAAGAAATTTAATATGGGATATGAGTCCATAAACATCTTATGTCCAATTTAACGCTTTAGAGTTGGTGTAGCTCTGCCTTAATGAGAAGGTAGAAAGGGTGAATGGAGTATACCCTCTAGATTTTGACAAGGACTTGTAACGTGTATTTTTAGCTGCTCAAATTACTTGAGAAAAATTCGACTCACTTTGTTTAAATATACGTTATTTTTTGTTGATAAGCTTCTAAAGCCATTATTTTTGTCGTAAACTGGCTCTATGTATCGTTAGCCTTCAGATATCATTCATTTAATTTCATTAATCTTATTACTGGGCAGGGGTATCGTATTTTGTTCAGAGTATTTATACATTTTTGTAGGTTTTATTCCTGGTTTTATTTTAGACTGGCTTGCTTTAATTTCTTCAATTCTCCTAAAAATAGGAAGTCTTGTTGTGAGTTTACCTATATATTTTGTATTATAACCTTACTTTTAAGTAATTAATTATTTGCGATGCCAGATGAGTCGAGTTTGTTTGCTTTTTGTTTAAATTAATTATTTTTACGTTGGTATTCATTATGGCTGTTTCTTTACCCTGTGGAATTTCATGATTTTCCAGATTCTCACCGAGTAAGATACTTTAGTCTCTCCAAATATTCCTGAACTAGAAAATTTTGTAAATCTCTGTCGCAGTTTTTTAATGCATTGGACAGCAGGATTTTTTGGAGGCACTGAAAAACAATACGATTTCTTATAACAGGAAAATGTTTGCCCCTCAAAGACAAAAAGTGTACCTATTATACCTAACATATTAGAAGTCCCAACATTTATATCTTTTGCGAAATCACTACTGTCGCACGTGACAGCTCAATATACCCGCGGGAGAAACCTTCATCAGAATTGTCTTCCGGAAAGGAACTTAAATCCACCTAAAAATAATTTAATTAATAGCAGTACGGAAAGCTTGAAAATGTAAAAAATTTAACACTTACATGCAGTACATGCACAGATTATTATGGATTGTGTATATACATATACTCGGATGAATTTATTTCGCGATAAATTTACTAAAATCTTAAAATTAGTTAGGAGTGACCTTAGATAAAAGAGACCAGAGATATAACATACACCGGTGTTTAACCTGCGCAAATGTTGCCAATTTCTAAAGAAAGGTTAACGGAGTGGGCGAACTGGGCGGCGACATGCGGCGACCCGAACTCTGTTGCAGGGACTGGACTTTGTTTATTAGCATCATAATGAACTATTAAATTTATTTAAAAGGTGTTTAATCGAATTTTGTATTATAAAATAAAATTAACGTGATTTTTTAATATCAAACAGATGCCACGACATTTTATGTAAAGAAAAGACCTTTTATAGAATATTTCGTTAGCGTTTATTTACTACGGACTTTTCTGCAAGAGATTACAGTAAAATATTGAAATAGAATATATTATTGATAGAGCAAAAAATGTTACTCATTGTCTAGGAGTATTATAAAAAGAGCATGTGCGCAGGCGAATACTGCAAATCTAACCTTATGAGTTAAACATTATATTTTTTCTACGGCTATTACATAATAATAAAAATTAGTCAAAATGAGAAAATGCTGTTTTGTATTATAACCTCAGAAAAAGGTATGTTAAGGCTTCCTTCTTTAGGAATATTAATTATTATAAAGGATGAGTCACATAAAACTCTAGAAATGCATATGTCTGAAACCAGATAACATTTTAAAATTGAAATCTATTAAAAGTAATTTGGTCGCTAGGGATGAGTGATTATTGAAATAAATTATCGATCATTGAAAATAATCGATTATTTTCAATCAATCGATTATTTTCAAACAACATATTTTTTTGTCATTTCCTTTAAAATCGACTACTTGATTATCTTTGAAAAATCAAAAATAATCGATTAATTAAAAAGACAATTAACCGATAAATCAGTGTTTACAAAATATAATAAAAAAAGAATTATCGTTTATTTTAAATAATCGTTTATTTTAAATAATCGATTATTTTCAAATAAACCATTTTTTTTCGTCCGTGGAAACAGATTATTCGATAATTTTTAAAAAATCGAAAATAATCGATTAATCAAAAATAATCAATTAATTAAAAAGTCGATTAACTGATAAATCGATTTTCAAAAAAAAAAACAGAATGATCGACTATTTTAAATAATCGATTATTTTCGATCAATCGATTATTATCAATAATCTATTTTTGTTGTATTTCCTTTAAAATCGATAATTCGATTATCTTTAAAATACCAAAAATAATAGATTATTCCTAAATAATCGTCTGTCGAAAATAACTAATTATTTCAGAAGTCGATTCTACGATAAATCGATTTTCCAAAAAATAACCGAATTATCGAATATTTTCTAATAATCCATTTTTTCTTCCATTGAAACAGATTATTTGACATTCTTTGAAAAATCGAAAATAATCGATTAATCAAAAATAATCGATTAATTAAAAAGTCGATTAACTGATAAATCAATTTTCAAAAAAAAAAACAGAATTATCGAATATTTTAAATAATTGATTATTTTTCATCGATCGATTATTATTAATAATCTACTTTATTGTATTTCCTTTAGAATCGATAATTCGATTATCGTTGAAACAAGAAGCCTATTCTATGATAAATCGATTATTATCAATAATCTATTTTATTGTATTTCCTTTAAAATGTATAATTCAATTATCTTTGAAATACTGAAAATAATCGATAATTCCAAAATAATCGCCTAATCGAAAATAACCAATTAATTAAGAAGCCGATTCTATGATAAATCGATTATTATCAATAATCTATTTTATTGTATTTCCTTTAAAATCGATTATTCGATTTTCTTTGAAATACTGAAAATAATCGATAATTCCAAAATAATCGCCTAATCGAAAATAACTAATTAATTAAGAAGCCAATTCTATGACAAATCGATTATTATCAATAATCTATTTTATTGTATTTCCTTAAAGTCGATAATTCGATTATCTTTGAAATACCAAAAATAATCGATAAATCCAAAATAATCGCCTAATCAAAAATAACCAATTAATTAAGAAGCCGATTCTATGATAAATCGATTTTCCAAAAAATAAAACGAATTATCGATTATTTTCTAATATTCCTCTTTTTAATATTTCCTTTAAAATTGATTATTCGATTATCAAAAATAATCGATTATTAAAAAACTGATTAACGAATAAACCGATAATTTTAAAAAATAACCAAAATATTGGTTTTATAAAATAACCGATTATATTCAATCGAATAATGAAAAAACCGATTGAACGAAAATCGATTATTTTGAATAAACCTACTTTTTTTTTGTATTTCCTTTAAAATTGATTTATAAATTATCTTAAAAAAACAAAAATAATTTATTAAAAACAGCGGATAAATCGATTTTCATAAAAAAATATCAGAATTATCGATAAATCGATTATTTTTGTAACCCCTATCGGTCGTTTTCTTTTATCCAAGCGTTTAGCTCAAAAATTTAAAAATTCGGATTTTTTGATCCCGTTATCTTTGAAACCGCATTCGATTGTATAATAAATAATAAATATTGCTAAATTTTGGATTTTTTTAGTAAACGAAAATTTTGTTCGAGTTGTTTAGGGGTTTGTAATATAACATTTTATTAATGTTACCAACTCCCGTAACTTTAGTATTTGTTTTGCTTATACTAGATCATATGGTGCGTTTTACTTTGTTTTAAGACTGAAGATTCAAATGTCACTTTCTATTTGACCGCAAATAAGATGAACCTTGTAATTTTAAGTAGGTCATCCTGTATTTCATCTAATATTCTTATAAAAGTACCTTATAAAAATAAAATTTAGCTAGCAACTATGATTCTTTACTTCTTATTTATCTACCAAAAAGGGCTTAAAATCACCTTTAGAAAACATTCTTATAAAACTACTTCTTAAATACAGAATTTCGTTAGCAACAATGCCTATTTACTTTTTATTTAAATTAAATGTTCAAAATTTTATCTTTTTGTAAATTTATGTAATATGAAATCTGATTTCGGATGCTTAATAGTTATTGAAACCCCTTAATGCGGATCTGAAGTATTCAGCCCAGAGAATCCTAGCGCTTTATGTCAAAACGTTAATAAATATTTACCGCTGAAAACGAATATGTTCATAACATTAGTACTTGTATTATAAGAACATACATTTTTTCAAGATACATCGTGGCATTTTGAACTTGAAATTGATTAACTAAAGCACTTTAAATTGCTAAAATACCAAAAAATAAATCAAAAAACAGCTGTCAATGGTGATTAAACTCAGGTGTAGGTGATCGATGAATGGAAAAATCGGAGCAATTCGGGTGGCGTCGTGCAAACAATGATTTTCAATTGGTGGGTTACTTTGGGTTAAAATAGACAACATGCGCAGTGTGCAATGTTACATCTTCGGTCTCTTTAATCTAAGGGACTGACACATTCACTGTAAACGCTTTCTTTTGGCTATTTAATCAACTATGTATTACCAACAGCAATACATTTTAATAAAGCAGTGGTCACACTCTATAAGTATAAATTCTAATAAAAAAAATACGTGACCCACTTTAAGAAAAACCGACTTGAAAATGTTTGATTTATATAATTTATTCGACATCACGGTCTATAAACTAGCAGCCACTGCTTTTGGATCTAAATCCACCCACTTGTCTTTGAGATATTTTCTTTACAATTAATCGCCATCGCTTTGCAAGTTCCGCGCTTTTTCGCTCGAAAGGAAAACGCCGAAAAACAAACAAGCAAATTTAGTAGAACTAGTTTTAAAAAGCTGCAGCATTCAAAGTGACTGTTGTGTACATTCTCTAACAACTTGCTAATTTTCCTTCAGACTGTCGACATACTCTAATTGCTGTGTAAAATTTAATTTGTTTTAACTTTATCCAGAAGAATAAACACGAAAATTGCACGAATTTATAAAGCTGTTAATTTAAAATGCAAAATAATTTTAAATAATTGATACTGCGATGTTCTAAATCGTTCAATAAAACCTTTTAAATCCAACTTTAAGATTATATAGGGTGTATCAAATATTATTCTTAAAAATTTTGAGTTTGAGGTCGTGACATTAAAAATAATTAACTTTTTATAATTTGACGGCATTTCTACGTTTATTTTACGTTTTTACAAACTAAAAATAATTCTCAAAATGTTAGGATAGAATCTGGACAGTTGTTTTACTTTATGTTTAACCATTTTGTTGTAACATGCTCGTAAAGTTGAAAAAAAGTAATTGTTGAGTTTCAAAACTGTTTAAACTTGGAAAAACATAATAGGTTTTTAAATTTGACTCTCTTAGAGAATTCAAAAAACTAATTATCCCAGTTGACATCAACTTTTGTCGGCAAAACCTGAAGTGTTTTGTACTTAGGAAAGGTGGGTCTTCCAATATTTTTCGAGTTTCATGCATTACAAATTAAACCTAAAGCTAATCTGTGTGTATATCAAGTAGGGTATTGTACTCCTAAGTTAAATTTTGCTTTGCGAAAGGACAAAGTGCTTTTCTGCTTCAGGTAGAAACATCTGTATCTTACAAAAATCCCATTATTTAAAAGATGATTTTTTATATTGTTTGATTGTGTTGTTGTTTCGAGAAGCAATAATTATAACAAAAATGTCTTGTTAAAAATGTCTTTTAAGAAAAGCAAACTGGATAAAAATTACGGCCGCCAGGGTAAGATGTTTCCACATTTAATGAGGATATCTAAAAGGAGATAAAAATAAATCGTAATGTAGAGCAAATTATTGATTCCAATTTTAAGTATCAAGGCTCTAACTTGCATAAAGGATATACTAATAAGCATACACAGGCCCAAGTTACAATAAATTTGTATTTAGTCTCTATGCTAGTTTATAAACAACTTTGTTTTATAAAAT